GCAAATGGGTACCAAATCTTCATGACAGCAGCACTTTTCATCACTCTTCCTTGAGAGTTAGTTATTTCTTTGTCTTTAGAAAGTAAATCTACTATAAGTAAGGATTTGCTAGCAATATACTGTTTATAAATTGCATTAGGTGGACTTAGGAGATCAGAAAATCTCCACCTGGAGTATAAAGCTGGGGAAGATGTAAAAAGATTTCCTTCACTATCTTTATATGGCTGCTTCTGGAAATTGGTATATCAATATAATAATCCCATTGCTTCCACCTCTCAGCTAGGACCTCCACAAAGGAAGAAGTCCAGGGAAATAAGTAGGACTAGAAACAGGGTGAAAAATATATAGTTTGTAGAGGGTCTTTTTTATCTTTCTTTTCCATTGCAGTGCTTAACAACTCCGCCCATAAGTGTGGAAGTACAGGGATATCTTTAAACAAAAGTGAATGTTCCCCAAAGACTGAATTTTGTCTGTATCATCCCCAAAGAAAATTGTGTAGAGCTGACTTCAGACATAAGTACAATAGGCCCAGCAACACCTTCACCATTTGGCTCCAGACTGGGATTTGATTCTATTAACTTTGTGTTGTCCTAAGCTATCTGTCCAAGTCCCTAGTCTTTCTCTCTCCCCTTTTTCCCCTTTATGTCTTTCTTCCTATAAGTGAATCAATGGTGTTGAAGAGGAGAAACAAGAAGGTGGGGAGGAGAGGACCTCTGTGCTTCTCAGGAGGAAAATGTTTATGAAGGGGAAAGAAATGGAGGAAAATACTGCATACTTTAAGGGGATTGAGAAAGATCTGCTATCCCTAAAATGAAGACAGGGGAGACACCTCTCTGTGTAGTCTCCTTGTATTTCCCTAGAACACCTTTAAGCACTCTGGCACAGTTACGCCATGTGCACACACTGACCTTTCCAAGGTAGCAGCACCTCAAGAATCCCAGTGGTCCCACCATGTCAAGACAACCCAGTTGAGTTTTGTCTGCCTCACTGAGGAAAAACTTGATGTGGGGGCTCCCACGTCACATGCAGAGTGGGCCAAAACATGCAGTCTCATCACACCTCAAACACTTCTAACCCAGTACAGGGACTTTACCGGCCTAGGTTTAGTTTTAAATTCTGCCAAAGACAGCATGAAAACTCTGTCAGAATAAAGCATACCCAATAGGCTATACTGAGTACAGCTACTTTCACACTATTTTGTTTTTTCAAATCTTTGAAAGGCTTCTTATGAGCTCAAAGCAGGACAAGATGTTTTAAAACCTATTGCTGCAAATAGGATTTTTTCTGTCTTCCCATCAGTTCTAATTGCATGGCTTCTCAAAATCAGTGCTTTCCTTCTCAGAAGCCATGTTAGTTGCTAAAGACATGGAAACTAATCATCCCAAATAGCTGCTTCTGTTGCTGGAAGACTCATGGATTCACTTGCTGTGAGTTTCGCTTGATTCCATATATCCTTTGCTGGGAAAAAAAGTAGGGAAAGAAGGTATCTTGCATGCTAAAAGCTTCTTCATATCCCCTTATTTAAAGTGACATGGAATAAGCGTTTTGCCTTTATTTTGCCATTTGCCTTTATTGGAAAGAAAAATTTAATCTAGAAGATTTACAAGTTGCCTTGATTTTTACTGGAAAGCATTCTGAGGCCTCATTCTGGGAGTGTAAATTTCACTCTTAAGTGAAGCTGAGAGCACATTATGAGCTTTCTCAGGGCGTTTTGCTCTCCTTACCTGATTCCACTGGGTCTTTTGAATCCAAATATTGCATTCATACATTCATAGCTTCCAAAAATCATTGCTTTGAACATTTACTTTGGGTCTTTTTTATTTCAACATACTAAGTCTGTTTGTTTTTAAGTTACTATGTCAGTGTATATGACCAGTGAACAAAAAGCCCTATCAATTTTTCTTTGTAATTTGATTATGAGATGGTTTTACTCAAAGCTGCTCTGAACTTTCTCCCTTAAGACAAATGAAATTTTCTCTTCAGCCATGGAAAAAAGACTACTGCTCTCCTACCCAAAAAGATATTCCCTGGAGAAATACCGCAATGTGTTTAGAACTCTGCATTTTATCATCTTGAGAAACAGGCATCCAGTATTTCTTCCAACTTCTATTCTAAAAAGATGAGCTATAGGACTTACTCATGGGGCTGAATTCCCTATTATCCTAAACCCTACATAGTAATTTACATGAGTGCAAGATTGGTATGAAATGCTATTGTATTAGAATGGTAGTACCATATTGGTTTAAATATAAGGTGAGGTTATAAAAGACTGAAGGAGGGTTGGGGAAGAAGGGTTGTAAATAACCAACTTGTGTATCTGCATTGAACGTGTGGCCTGTAACCATCTCATCTATTGTGTACTTCCTCCATCCCTCACCTTCCCCAGAAATGTATAATTTTAGATGGGAGGAGGTGGGACAATTCTTGCAGTCAAAAGGACACCAAGTTCTTTACTGGGAATCAACATGTAAGGCAAGCCATCAGCAATGCAAGTAGGCTGTGGGATTCTTATGGGGCCAACCTGCAAGGGGGAGGATAGCAACGAAGCAATGCCTAACATTTGGTTTCTGTATTAGAAGTGGTCATTCAATTTCGTAGCTTTTCAAAATTAGGGAGATCTCTTGTCATTTCCAACTAATGCAAAGGGTGCAGGCAGTATGGGATAGGGTGCAGCTTTTAAGGGGAAAAAATGGTCCCCAGTTTCTAGAAGAAAGAGCACAAGAAACCATTTTGTTCCATTTCTTAAATATCTGTTCATAGATTTTTAAAGGGTCCACTGTGTTTCTACAGCAGAATGATGTAAGCATAATCTTTAGCAAATCATAAAGGTGTTATATTTAAGCTGTAGGTACATACATCACAATCATGCTATCTTTCAGGGAAAATGGACTAAATTATCCTCTACTGTACGAATGGATAAAATTACTGTGCCTTTCCTTTGTTATTAAATCTTGCCTAAATCACACGCTAAAATAAGTTATATTTTCTTGAATCATTAAATAAATAAAAAAAAAATCCATGAAAAAAGAAACTGTCCTCTACAGGCCTTTAAGTTTAATGCTGACATGATTCTTTTATACAGCCTGTTCAAGATAAAGACACACAAAAGAAAATAGCTCTTGTTCTGTTGTAGATACTTGAAAAACATAATTTTAAAATAGCTGCAACCTTGAATCCTTGAGGAAGTTGCTTTCTAATACAGTATTGTTTTAAGCACATAGAGTTTAATTAACTGTTATGGAACAGAGTGTTAAAGAAAGCTGTTGAACCCCAACTTTTCCTGTCCTCCCCTGCCCTTTGAAAAAAAGACCATTTCTAAACAAGTGACCATTGCCAACCTGAGCCAGAGGGCAGCATTCACCACCTTATGATACACTGCAACTCCGGATGAATCTCAGCTACATATTAACTCATCTTTCTCTATATGATACCAATAAATGTATTAAAAAATGTATTGCATTGTAGGGCCTAATGCGAAATGGTTAAGTTAATAAATGATATTGCCATTAGTGTTCAGTTATAAATACATTTGAATTTTAAACTGAACATATGCCACTTCTTTGCTTAAAACTAGCAACTTTTGCTTTCAAAAAACATGCCCCAGACACAGGCATGCAATAATAATACTTAGCATCAGGGATGTCAAAACTTATAAAGAAGACAGCATGAATATCTCAGTTTTATCCATTATATACACATATTTAAGAAGTTTCTTACTTCAGACCACACAGTGATCAAAACTGATACAAAACCAGAGCTCCTGTCTTAGCCGTAAGCTTGAATTAGTTTCTGATTTACTACTCTGGATATCAATTCCAAAATAAAGTTTTATTTTTATGTTTGTCTTTTTGCTGCAATGCTGTTATTCTCTTTCTCTCCTTTGATAATATTAAAGATCATCTGTCTTGGTTTAACATCAAATTCTTGTAGCCAATTTAGGCTGGAGAATTCCTTAAGTACCCAGTTATTAATAACACCACTTTTGTGCTCCCCTCCCCATGTCCTTATCTTAATAATTTCTTCTAATAACATTTTTTTGATCAGATCAGAAATGTAGGAAAGAATGGAAAGAATTTCTTGGCTCCCAGAGACATGCAAAGCACCTTATTATTTATTAATTGTTATTATTACTTAAGACAGAACCACAGATAAGATAAACACATTTTCAAATAATAAAAATGAGTAATGAAACACTCGTCTGCTTCATTTGGCAAAGAGCAAGTCTGGGGCTGTTATCAAATACCAGGCATGAGTAGAAGAGGAAGTGGGAGAGAGAGGGGTGGATGTAATGATTGTGTGGGGATTGGGGTACTGTGCTGTCAGTTAAGCCTATGGGACAACAGGTTTAGCCCCAAAGCCAAATCCTGAAGGAACTTCAGTAACTCCAGGGACAATTTGCTTACCTGCATTAGCTGAGAATCTAATGTTCTCTGTATTGATTTTGAGAAAACATCTGCAGATTTGGATGAGAATAACTGAAAGTAAAGCTCGACCAGAATTTCACAGATGATGATGATGAGAGAGGTTTCGTTGCTTTTGTTTCACAGCAACAGATGAAAGAATTAAATCTGCACTGCCTACGATCAGTTTGAACCCATATGCAGCTGACTGTTGGACACTACTTTGAAATTTAAGAGAAACTGAAACACATTTCAGGAGGTTTGTTTCAACCACAGATATAAAACAATAGAGTCCCACTAGAAGCTGAGAGCCTGCTCCTTTTAAAGGAGCACGTGCCACTTCAAGAAATAAAGCATGAAAGGAAGTGGTGGTATCTCCTGTATTCACTTTGCTAAGCAAGGAATTAAAATCCCCCACATCCTTCCTTTTGTCAGATGAAGCTGATTGATTTCTGGACAGCAATGTGACTGAATTTATCATGTTTTGTGTTTTGTGGGGTTTGTTAGTTTGTTTGTTTGGTTTTTAGTACCTGTAATGCTTGTATTTTTAATCTACTAATACTTTGCACTCACTTGGCTTTGGTTTTGTTCTTCTTACAGGTGACAGCACTCCAGGGACATTACTCATCTGAAGCTAGGAACAAGGAGACCTAAGCCTGGGTAAGAGACCCATAAGGGACTAGAGGTCCTACTGAGGAGGAATCAATTTTGACTTCTTGTCACTTTTTCCTTTGTCCTTTCCTTAAAGCATTTCCCATCAAGATGGGATGAAAGTAGGCACCTTTAAATTTCATATGTGTGTTCATCTACTAGATCAACTTGAATTACCTCTGTTTCTGGCAATTTTCACCACTAGTGTTCAATGCAATGCCTCCTGTCAACCCTCTGAGCATGTAAGCTAGCTCAGGACCCAGGCTGAGATCCCAGCGTTCCAGCATGACATGCTGCCACTTAAGCACTTAATTATATGTATGGAGACAAGGACTCACATTGTGCACTTTACAAAAGAGTCACAAGTAAAAATGAAGTCCCTCTGCCTTGCCAGCCAAAGGGATCTTTGCCAGCACCAGGTGGTGGAAAGCATGAGGCAAGTGAGAGGGGTGACTCCTGGTGCTGCTTATGCAGCAAGGGTAGCAATTAAAAAATATGCTGTGTTTGAGAGAGAGGCCAGTAGCATTTGGTGTTTGGTGTCAAGGGGCTGAACAGAGTGCCGTGTGAGGCTGAAAAGCCTTGCAGGGGTTCTTAATGAACAATTTTCTGCGTTTCTCATCCTACTTGGATGATTGTACTTTGCTGGCTACTGTGCTGTTGAGTCCAGGTTTTGTCAAGTGGTTATCTTCCCACTTGCATCTGTTTATTCCATATTCACCTCTCTGGTTGGATGGGCACAACCGTATATCAATGCAGCTATTGGGATTTTTCAGTCTGATTGAAATAATCTCTCCTGGATTTCTACCGGTGGTCTAATTTAATTATCTTGTTTCAAAGACCAGTTTAGTAGGAAATGCAGAGGAATGCAAATGTGAAATTCATCCATATGCCTAAATGTATATTGTGCTCATTTTATGCATTCTATGATGTCTGTTCCCAACTCTTCTTTTCTAGTGATGATGAGCAATGTCTGAGTCATTGAGCCAGGGGCAACTGGGCAGTGAGTGATTTTAGCTGTAAATGTAGATCTTGCAGACTTTCTGAAGAAGTTTAATACCTTTATTTAAGCTACAGTAGTACTCACTTTCCTTTATGACATCATGCTGTAATTTCATTTTACAGATTTTGGGGTTCTCCTATATTAACAGAAGAAAACATATATTTAGGTTTATTTGGAGTTTCAAAGGACATATATATTAAGTTTGTGCTAAGTATGTAAATGTAATAGCTGAAAATTAATTTATAAAATTTTCAGGGTTGAAATTTGGTATTCTGCATAGCCACTGCATAGGATGTTGAGGCATTGTGATTTGTACTTCTGTGTCTCTGGCACAAATTTTTAGGAGAATAATAGCAACATATTTGATGGCATACCTCTAGTGGGACTATTTCAAGTCTTGCTGCAAGCTATATAAGGCACTCTCTGTGACAGAGATAAGTGTCAATTTAAAGTAGAAAAGTGAATAATCACTGAGGTTAGTCCTTTCCCAGGTTTTGTTGTAGGTTAAGTGATAAATGCTCATCTTTTTTTTTTTTTTTTTTTTTTTTTTTTTTTTTAACTCTGGAACAAAACATTGTTTGAAACAAGTATCTGTCTTCAGGAAGATGTGTCTATTATGTGTTTAAGGAGAGATTTACTTTGTATTGCATGAGCTAGGTGCACAAGTGGAGAATTGGTTTATAAATTCTTATGGCCATTGCAGAGATTCTACCTAATTCTTTTAATAGGAAGAATTATGAAAACGATTTTAAGCAGATGACTGATATCCACAGGGCAGATAATGTGGGCTCCAACTGCATTTGTAGTAGTTCACTTCTGTAAGTGAACTATGTTCTCTATTTAGAAAAAGAATGAGAATATGAAATATGTTGTGTCTCAGTGATTCTTCAGATTTCATTATATTGATTGGAGTAGAAGAAAAAGACCTTCCAAACAGTAGATTTTTTTAAACAAATTCCCAGACTCAGTACTTTGCACGCTCCATGGAGAGGCTGTATACGATTATGTCATGCTAGTAAAACAAGATAATATAATATAATCCCATTGCATTGTCACTAAGATAAAGCATATGATAACTTACTGTTTTAGTTGATCAGCAGTGTGGCATAGTACAATGAATTCCATTCTCCTGATTTTGGCTCATATTCTGATTTCTGAGAGACACAACAAAGAAAAATAATGTATCAATGGTCTTCTTGCTTTCACCTTAACGTGAATATTGTACTAGTAGAGTCACTTGAGGGAAAGGACAGTGGTTCTGTGTACCGCATGAACAGCAATGGCATCAGATGCTGTAGCCTGATTCTGTATTGAAATGTTTGTCTTGTGTGGAGATAATTGCACGACATAATTGTGTTGGGTCTGTCTGAGCTGGAGTCACCTTTTCCCTGCAGCAGCCCACACAGTGCTGTGCTCTGCACTCGTAGCTGGAACAGCACTGATATCACTCCAGTGTTGTCTATTGCTGCACAGTGCTGGCACAGCATCAGGACTCCTTCCAAGCCCCCAAGAGCCAGCAGGCTGGGGGTGGGCAAGTGATGGGGAGGGGACATCGCTAGGGCAGCCGACCTAAACCAACCAAAGGGACATTCCATAACACCTGATGTCACACTCAGCAATAGAAAGGGGGGCTCTCATGGGGGAGGGGGCTGTTCCTCCTGAACAACCACTACATATTTTGAGGCTCTGCTTCCCAGGACATGGCTGAACATCGCTGGTTGATGGGAAGTAGAGAATAATTTTTTCCCTTCTCTCTGTGCTTCCATGCGGACTTACTGTTTCTGTGGTTTCTTTTTCTCCCCATTCCCTTTCCCTTTAATTAAACCTTTCTCATCTCAAACCTCGAGTTCTCTGTGTTGTATTTTCTCCCCCTTCCTCTTTGAGGAGAGGGGGAGTGAGAGTGGTTGTGGTGGAGCTCAGCTGCCCACCTGAGTAAAACCACTACAATAATAAAAACACATTTGATATGCAGTCACCTCTAGTTTGTATAGAATTGTTACCATACCTAAAGATCTCCCGTCCTAACTCAGGTCTACTCTAAGGAGTAAACATAAATACCATAAGTCTTAATATTTTATCTCTTGGAATGTGCCATTCTGGGCTATACCTGTCAATTGTTGCAAACATTTCCACAAAAGAGACAACAGTTCCGCATCTCATCTACTAAACTTTTTTTCTTCTGTCCAAGGAGAGCAGTCAAGCCACTGTATAATACTGAATATTTTCTCATGGGAGAAAAAAAAGTCATGGGCTTCTTCTGCACTTCCTACATTTGATTTATTAAGAGCAGTTGTCTCCTCTCAGCTTGAGCAATCAGAGAGCAAACACAGGGCAACACCTTCATGTTATCCTGTTCTGTGTCAATACACTTCCCTGCTACCAGCCAGAGGTTTAGCCCAGGCCGCAGTGGTTAAATTTTTTGATGGAACCCCTTGCTGAAATATTCTCAGTGCATAACTGATAATAGGGAATTAAGCAAGATGATACAGTCTGTTCTCAATGTGCTCTTTTTCCCTGAGGTGCTGTGAAAGAAATAATGTGAATTTCACAGGTAAGGAATGTATTCGCCCACCTCTTTCTTGCTCCCCTGAGGCAGAGCACTGCACAAATCACTGTGCAGGACCCCTCTGAGCCACACTTAGGAGGGCAGGAATGCTTGTGCTGCAGTCTCAGACTTGGGCCTTGCATCTTCACTAGCAATTCAAATTAAACACCCTGAAGTTTGTGGTGGTTAACACAGGATGAGATCGCTCAGAGAACTTGCGTTGCACATCATAGTGGTATCCTTCAAAGGGTTCATGGTACCAGCCTCTTCCCCTCCTTCCACCCTTGAGTAAGCAGCATAGCGCGTCTGCCTCTGGGAAGGGCTTTAAAGATCAACCTCACTGCAGTTCTTTGTAGGCGGGGGGATCTTCTGCCCTTCTGAGGCCACCGAAAAGCAGCAAAACTATATTCCTGAGCCTATAATAGATGCAAATTGTGCAGATGAAGGAGAGAAAGCTCTAACAGCCGTTGAATGCAATCTGTGAACACTACTGTTTCATTTATAGTGATGCTACCTAGGCATTTGCACTTAAAAGGAACAATAAAGAGGTGTCAGAACAATCGCAAGACTGCAGAATTTAAACTGCAGCAAAGACATTTTGAGCCACGTGAAATGTTGCCTGCAAAAGATCTGCTTTTTCCGTTAGTTTTTGTTTTTACTGAAGGCTGTTCTAGTTCTCCTTGTTTTATGACACCGAATGGTTCATTTGCCTTCAAAGACTCAAGATGCAAAGAGGGAGGGAAACAAGTCAAAACTGCAATGACTAGTGAAAACTGCACAAAGTATGCCACAGCTCTTCTTTCTCTATTTATTTTTGAAGTAGCTCTGCTGTACAACTAGAAGATGGTTGATTCACAAACTTGCCAGGCAACCTCTAGCAGGTAGCTGTAGAGCTACTGTAATGTTTTGGTGTTTATCTTGCTTACAGGACAAAAGGTCAATCCTCAGATGATGCAGTCTTTGTAGGTATGTGTGTACGACGCTGAGGATCTGAGGTACTGTTGCTGTTTAGTCTTCCGAGTTTGGCATAAGTGAAAAAATGTACACTAAAAAAAAATGAAATTTCTAGTGGCTGTCAACCAACAGAAAATTACTGATTAACAAAGAATACTGGGTTTGCATTTAGTGTCCTGTTAAAAGCACAATAAGCTGTGATTGTGAGCATGATTATCTATGAGTGTTGCTACTTACCAGCTGCAAATGTGGAAGCAGTGTGTATCTAGAAAAACAAGGAAACAAGCATTTATTATTGTTGTATCACAATACATGATGTTCAAGGTGCCCTAATCCTGATAAATAAGAGCCAATTGCTCTTGTGTAGGAATAGTCTAAAAAGGTAGTATGTGTAGTTTGCACATACTGTTACAACATTTTTTGGAAGGAGTGAAGCTGTATGATTGTTAGAGTAGGATTGGCTCTGTATCTATGGCAGATAAAAATGCATTATAGTATCTGTTGTCATTC